CCCCAAAGTTCAGTTCCCAGTACCCCAAAGTTCAGTTCCCAGTACCCATTTCCATCCTCTACTGGACTTTATCAGCACCCACACATCTCTGTGCACACTAACAAGCAAACAGACACATAAAACTTCTTTCAAATCTCTTTTAAAAGAGATTAAATGTGTGTGGTGGTACCTGAACTTTAATCCCAGCGCTCTGGAGGCAGAGACAGACAGAACTCTGAGTCGGAGGCCAGCCTAGTTTACATAGCAAATTCCATGTCAGCCAAAGCTGCACAGTGAAGCCTCTGTCTCGGGGAGACAGGGGGTGTGGAGAGACGTAGAAGCTGAGCACAGTCAGACCTGGCTAGTATTTGAATAGAAGTATGAGCGTTAAAATTGTGTAGAGCATATATGTTCTAACCTTTGCCCTAAATAAGGAAGGAAAGGCTTAGAAATAATAGTCCAGGGCTGGCGAGATGGCTCAGTGGTTAAGAGCACCAACTGCTCTTCCAGAGGTCCTGAGTTCAATTCCCAGTGACCACATGGTGGCTCACAACCATCTGTAATTGGGATCTGATGCCCTGTTCTGGTATGTCTGAAGACAACTACAGTGTACTCATATTAATAAAATAAATAAATATTTAAGAAAAGATTTATAAAAAAATAATAGTTCAATCAATGAGGGATAAACAATTTATCACTCAATTTCTTAAACATTGTGAAATGCCATGGATGTTTGTAAAAAGAGATGCGTACAAACTTTTTACGAACACATATATCTGTTCCTAAGCATGGATATCCTGTTCTTGTACGAGCATGTATAAACCAACCCTGACATTGAATTTGGACTAATAGGGTTGTAAACTTTTTTTTAAATGTGCTTTCAAACAAACCTCCTAAACATAATATATACTTATTTAATTACTTTACCTTATTTATGATTTTTGATTCACATAAACTTTCTAAGAAACATCGATGGTAAAAATTACTAAGTCAAAGTAACCCTCTATTTTCATTGTATGCAACTCTCAGCTGGTGGCTGGTAGAACAGGATCTCTGTATGAAAGAAAGCCCAGCCAGGTGGCTGTTGATTGGCTGAGTGTGAGCTCAGCACTGTTCTCCATGGTAGCAGGATCCCAGAAAGCAGCACTTTTTATGAGCATCTGCTGTGTGCATCTGCTTTCACCTTCAGAGTCCCCTCGATCCTCTCAAATACCTCTGAGGCAGCCATTTTTACCTCCATTCCCCTCATGAGGAGACTTGAGACTGGGAGCCATGGTACATGCCTGTCATCCCAGCACTCAAACTAAGGCAGGAAAGTGGCATGTAAGGCCAGACCAGGTGACATAGCAAGCTTTGTCTTAATAAAGACTTTTTTTTTCGAGACAGAGTTTCTCTGTACAGTCCTGGCCGTCCTGGAACTCACTCTGTAGACCAGGCTGGCCTCGAACTCAGAAATCCACCTGTCTCTGCCTCCCAAGTGCTGGGATTAAAGGCGTGCGCCACCAGTGCCCGGCAATAAAGACTTTTAAAAAGGAACAAACAAACTGAGGCTCAGAGAGGTTCAGTGACTTGTTCCTCACACAACCTAGTCTGTGTCTCTCTTACCAGGAACATTCTGTGTCTCAGCCAGACACCACCATTTCCTCTCTCGAAGCTCAGATTCTGTCATGTCAGGGCTCTAGCATATCCCAGTAGTGTCCAGGATCCAGCCATAGAAGGATCTCCTAGAAGGACCAACCCACTTCAAAAACAACGCCTGTTGTAGGGAATATGGTTTATGAGTGGATTTCTGTTACCCACAGCTCTGGCTCCTCCCACCAACCAGACAGGAGAGAATCCATCATATTTCAGAGACAAGGCAATGTCAAGTCATTCTTCACAGAAAGAGCCATTCTCTTAAATTGTGCACTTAAAAAGTGTCTTGGGTCATTCTTGGGCAATGTAGAGGAATATATATTGAACAAGGCATTTGATCTTGATTACAAGCAGTTTCATTAGTTTTTGTTTTGTTTTTTTTGTTTTGTTTTGTTTTGTTTTGTTTTCTGAGACAGGGTTTCTCTGTGTAGCCCTGGCTGTCCTGGAACTCACTCTGTAGACCAGGCTAGCCTCGAACTCTCGAACTCAGAAATCTGCCTGCCTCTGCCTCCCAAGTGCTGGGATTAAAGGCGTGTGCCACCACCGCCCAGCCAGTTTCATTAGTTTTAAAGAAACAAAATCAGAGGCTGAGAATGTGGCTCAGCTCAGCAGGATGTTCGCCTGGGATGCAGAAAGCCGTGGGTTCAATCCTCAGCACCACGCCAACTGGGCATAGTGGTATGCACCTAGAATCCCAGAGCTCGGGAGTTAGAGGCAGGAGGATCAGAAGTTGAAGATTGTTTTCAGCTTCATAACAAATTTGAGACCACCCTTGACTCCATGAGATCTTGTCTCAAAGCAAAAAGAAACAAATAATAATGAAAAATGCATAGACCTGAGAGTCAGTGATTCAAAATCATGGAGGTCTTTGTTTCTAAGACCCTGTGACAGCTACCTGGAAGATGGTTCTGACTGAAGCAAGAGAAGCATCCTCGAGTTTTCTGTCTTAAGACTCTAGTTTCCACAGTTCTGGCATGCAAGCACAGGCTCCTGTATTTTGAATTTGAAGTATTTGGATATAAGCATATCTCGGGAGGTTGAATCTGGACCTCACCTCCTGGGGCTTTCAATTCTTGTTGGGTTATCTTTTCTGTCTAGAAGATGTTTACCTCAAATTGAAGTGTAAACCAGGGTTCTTTTCTTACTGTTTTTTTTTTTTTTTCATTTGCAGATGGGGCACAGAAGCGTGAGTTAACAACGTTTTATTTATGCCCTGTCAGAAGATAGAGACCCATGGGTGGCGGGGAGGAAACATTGGGAGTATGCCCTGTCAGAAGATAGAGACCCATGGGTGGCGGGGAGGAAACATTGAGAGAGATCAACCCCAAGAACTGAGAACCTCCTGTTACATTCCCAACATCTATTTTAGAAAGATTTCAAATAAGAACTCTTGTGGGATTTTTTTTACTTTCACCCTCACTTCCCAAGTCCCTGTCTACAGCCTATGCGCTAAAGCCAACTTCCAGAAGGTTCTCTGCCCCTCATCTATTCACATATTCCCTCTCCCAACTTCTCCAGTCAGTCAGTCAGTCAGTCAGTCAGTCAGTCCACCTCTCTCTACCAAGCAAACCTCGATGCCTAGTGATAAGGAATATCCTGTATCTAGTTGCTTCTTACAGCACTAATTTGACATTTGTGAAATTTCCCTGGATTTCCCCCTCCAACCTCCTTCCCTTTTCTTCTTTCCTCAGAATATAAAGTCTCCATCTCAGGAACCAGTGTAGAGTTGACATGCCCTCTAGAGAGTGAAGACAACTTAAAATGGGAAAAAGATGACCGACTACTGCCTAATAAGAATGATAAGCAACTGGTGTTATCGGATTTCTCAGAAGCCAGGGACAGTGGCTACTATGTCTGCTACGAAGAAGGCTCAAAGAAAAACAAGTACCTGTATCTGAAAGCTAGAGGTAACTCAGGCTCCTCCCAAAGAAGCTTTCTCAAGAGCCCTTTCTCTTACGTCCTCCTGCACTCACTCCATCCCAGGCTCCCTGGGGCCACACATTCAGTACTTTCTGAAAAATAGATTGCACAGTGTGGCCTGGAGTTGTCAGGGTAACTTCCACTGGTACCAGGTATAAAATAGCAACTTCCCGCAGATGAAGGCTTGGGTCACTTGCCTTGTAACAGACTCAGAATCAAGGCTTACTACCATCATGTGTTGATGGGATCACTTATTCAGAGACCCACTTTATTACAAGGACATCCAGAGAGACTCAGGCCACTACCTTAAAGTCCCAAACCCAGGCATCACAAATAGACAATAAGAGCTCCATCTGTCAGGTACTGTATTTGTCTTTGGTTTGAGGTTTTGCTTTGGTGTTTGGTGTTTGTTCGTTGGGTTGGGGTTTTTTGGTTGTTTGGTTGTTTGGTTGGTTTTGTTTTTTAATAGTCCTAGGTATCCTGAAAGTCACTCTGTAGACCAGGTTGGCCTCAAACTCTCAGAGATCTGCCTCCAGAGTTCTGGGATTAAAGGTGTGTGCCACTGCCTCCAGCCTAAGTGCCTAGGGAATACTAGGCAACCCTTATACCTCTGTGATCTACCTCCTAAGGCTCATATGATGGGATCCTTTCCTGCCATCCCCAAATCAGCTATATAGATTTAGCCCATTTTTACTCCCATTTTGTTGATGTGAAAACAGAGGCTCTGTGGGCTGAAAAATCACCACAACTAATGAGTGATGGAGCTGAGGCACCAGAGCCTGTGACCATAATCACCCACATTGCTTCTTATTATCTTTCTCATCGGACACCACTGCAGGGAAGACTCTGGTGCTGGCCAGCATGCGGGTGTCTAAGGAAGACTTGTCTTCGTTTGTTTTTTCCTCTTCTCTCACATCCTGGTATTATCTCTTTTTGGGGTTGTTTCTCTCCCTCCCCCACCCCTGTGCCCTGCAGTGTGTGAGAACTGCATGGAAGTGGACCTGACCACAGTAGCCATAATCATCATTGTTGACATCTGTATCACTCTGGGTTTGCTGATGGTCGTTTATTACTGGAGCAAGAACAGGAAAGCCAAGGCCAAGCCTGTGTCCCGAGCAACCGGTGCTGGTGGCAGGCCCAGAGGTAAAACCATGGATCTGGGTCAGGAGACATCTAGCCTGGGCCAGGATGGGCACCAAGTCTACAGCAGATTCCAAACAGCTTCCTTAGCACGTTCTTGGTGATACCAAAGATTCCTACCCAGGGTTCCCATCAAAATTGTTCCTCATCTCCTTCCACCCTAAAAAACTCTGAAGACCAACACTGACCAACCAATCCAGTGGGCTTCCTCCAATGCCAGGAGTGCTCTGTGGTAAACAGATTCAATCCCCAAGCTATGGGCAGAGAGAGCTCAGGATTTTAGCCCCTACCTCATCCTCTTCCCTTCCCCCTGCAGAGATAATGGAAAGGTCACACATGATGAGAAGGCGTGGGAGGCCTTAGGGATTGGGTGAAGGAAAGAAAAGGAAGGGTAGCTGGTGGGAAAAGGAGATTAGAAGAAAGAACAGAGAGGATTGCCCTCCCTTGGGTTGGATCTCCTAGCAGCTGTCTTCCCTGCAAGACTGGCATTCAGCATGCAAACAGTATTTCCCCCTCTGTCCTCTGCAGGGCAAAACAAGGAGCGGCCACCACCTGTTCCCAACCCAGACTATGAGGTAACCGGATATGGTGGGTAGAAGTTGGAGGGGGTTCCTCATAGAGAGACCAGCAGGGACTGTTCATCTTATCTGCCAGATACTTCAAGCTACTCGCCCAGGGCTCCCAGGACAGGCTACCCATGTGCATGCCTTCTCTGCCTTCTTCATGTTCTCACAGGACTATCTCAAAGGCTGTTAGGCTCCCACAACTGTGAAGAGGCAGGGGACTAGAGGGAAGGAGACATGCCTCTTTCTCTTATTTGTATTGTTTCCAGATTCATGCCTGGAGGATGCCACATTTGCAAATGTAACTAGACAGATAAGAAAAGAACGTTGTTCCACGAGCTTGCCCCAGGACCAGTCATTACAATAGGGCAGTGCTTGGTTAATAATAGCCCCTAGTTTCCCTCTATCAGTGCACACACAAGCACGTGCACATGCATGCAGCCAGGCACCACAGCCTCTCTCCCACCAGGCTGCCATTTGATTTGGCAATTGAAGAGTTAATGTCTGGCACCAGGGCTTCCCTCGATGTGACTGTGCACCAGCAGTCCTTGAAGATTTTCCCTGTCACACTGGATGAACTGAATAAAATTTAGAGCACCAGGAACAGGGTATTTAAAGATCTCTCAGTAACTCCAGTGACCCTTGACAAAAGTCAGTGTTTGCTATCTCCACGGCTGAGTTAGGGAAGCTGCGGCTTCCAGAAGGAGGTGACAGGCTCAAGTCTGTGCCAAGTTACAACGGGGCTCCTCCTGACCGCAAGCCCAGAGGTCTCACCTTGGGCAGCAGCCAGCGCTCCAACGCCTTCTTCTTCCTTCGTCTCTCTTTCCTCCCACCATCCTAACCACCCTTCCCGTTCCACCCTCAGCCCATCCGCAAAGGCCAACGGGACCTGTATTCTGGCCTGAATCAGAGAGCAATCTGACAGATAGGAGGGAAACTGCCTTCTGTGGACCCAGATCCAGCCCTCTGAGCACCCTGCTACTCCTTGTTCTCCGGACAAATCGTAGAGTCCACCTCGCAGCATTGTTCTACAGCCTCCTGGAGAACATACCTCCTAGAACCTTCCTCTCCCGCTTCCTCTGCTAGCAGCAGTACTGAGACATTGCTGACTCAGTATCTTTTGAAATATCATGGCTGGTCAGTTGGTCGGCCAACCACCTTGTGGGAATACTTTTTTAAAGCTGCTCTGATGCCATTCCCTGCCATCTCCCCCCTTCTTCACCAACGTCATCTCTGCCTTCAATCCCTTCCCTTTCCTAATTGGCCCTCATAGCCAGTCCTCTCCTAGAGCTTTCTGCTTTTCTCTTCTTTCTCTCTTTCTTTCTTTCTTTTTTCTTTTTCTGTTTTTTTTTTTAGATTTTCTGTTTGTTTTGTTTGTTTTGTTTTGTTTTGTTTTTCGAGACAGGGTTTCTCTGTATAGCCCCGGCTGTCCTGGAACTCACTCTGTAGACCAAGCTGGCCTTGAACTCAGAAATCCGACTGCCTCTGCCTCCCGAGTGCTGGGATTAAAGGCGTGCGCCACCACCGCCCTCTTTTTTTTTTCTTTATTCCTTCTTTTTACTTAATCTTTTTTTTACACTCCAGATTTTATTCCCCTCCCAGTCCACCCTCCAACTGTTCCACATCCCATACCTCCTCCTTGCGCCCCTGTTTCCACAAGGATGTCCCCACCCCCCACCCTCCAGCCCCCACCTGCTTTCTGTTTTTCTAACTCTGTATTTTACACTCTTCTCTGGGGATGGACTCGGTGATCATTGGCACAGGTCCTGACCCAGCCCCTGCCACAAGCCCCTCTCCAGGTTTCACCTTAGGTCCTTGATGGTCATCTATGTCTTCATGAATACACTAGGCTCCTCTCTGCTAATGCAAAAAACAATAAAGCATTTTGGCTGGAAAACTTATGTCTCTTTTCTTCTGGAAGATCCTTCAGAGCAGCCTGTGTCCTAAGGCAGTTCAGACCCTGCCCAGGAACTCAGTGTGGTGCTTGGCTGTTAGAGGAGGTGGACACTAGCAAGCCCTCTCCATGCATCACATCTGCAGAGAGTGATGGATGGGTCCCTGATGCAGTGGTTGGACCATAAAATGAATGAGACACATAGGGCACCTGAGAGGCAAATCGAGATACAGGAAGAGACGGGAAGATGAGGCGGGAGCTGGGGGAAGATGCTGATATCCATCAGCAGCCAGGAAATACTGCCGAGCAGAGCCAGGGAAGTGGAGAAAAGCCACTGTGTGGTTCCCTCCTGCCCTGGAGGCAGCTTCCTGAAGCCCCAGGCAGTGGTGGTTACACAACAGGATGTGGGCTATGCCAGGTGTGAGGATAAGAGAGGTGTGGTGGCAGCCAGGGACCAGACCCTGGAGGCTAGCGATGAGAGAATGTGGTTCTTGGTCTCCCACGCGTTCTGCTCACAGGAGAGAGGAATTGGAAGCTCAAGCAAGCTATCCTAGGCCAGCTCAAGCCAGTGGCCTCTCTTCTCCACCTTTCTACCCTCAGACACATCTCTACTGACTTCAGGGCTACTCATTATGTGACTTTGGCTTCTGTGACTAGCTGTGGTTCACACACTGTCCATACTCAGCCTTGGACTTGTAACTACAGCGCCTGCTAGTTGGTCTCCACTAAACTGTCACCTTTTCCCTCTCTAGACATCGATGCTTACTATGTTAAAATGAGTCTTGGTGACTTTACCGGTCACCAACCACTAATAAGCAGGCTGGCCCAGGGGTGGCAGATTTTGTTCCGCTTGTATTTGATTGTGTCCAGTCAAGGACATTCATAGCTCAACATGATAAAAAAGCGTTAACATTTGGTGTTTACTGAGCATTTACTATGCTCCAGAACTTGTTACTAGCCCTATATGTGTTGTCTCATTTAATCCTTATAGAGACTCCACAAATAAGTGTTGTCATCCTCCATCTATAGTGGGCTCAGAGCGGTAGCATCATTCATCCATGTCGTAGTGAAATGCAGGACTAGAATTAGCAGTTAAAGCTGTCTAGTTCCAGGGCACTTTTTTTTTTTTTTTGAGACAGGGTCTCCTATGTAGCTCTGGCTGTCCTAGAACTCAGTATGTAGACTAGAAACTCACTATGTAGACCAGACTGTCCTCCTGCTTGTGCCTCTGCTGCCCTAGTGCCAGGATTAAAAGTGTGCACTACTATGCTCCGCCTCTAACTCCAGCACTCTGACACCTACCCGCTACGACTGTGACCATGGCAACGTTCTTCTTCCAACCATACGTCTCTGGAAAAACGGAGGCGTTGGAGATGGAGCTGGAATCTAGAGTCTGTTTTCTATATGGGGTAGAGGCAGGATAATACAGGATGAAGGCAGATGCTGTGTCGAGAAAAGTGGGTGTTGTGCAAAACATAGCTCTTACTCCAAATAGAATAGCAGATAGTTTATTCTGGAACCAGCAAGATGGCTCAGCAGGCGATGGTGCTTGCCACCAAGCCTGAAGACCTGAGTTTGATTCCCAGAACCTACACGATAGAAGAGAACCACCTTACATAAATTGTCCTCTGACTGCTAATCCCTCCAGGCGAGAAGACAACTACCACAATTTTTGAGCCAAATTTGAAGCAAACTTTATACTGGCCATGTCTACAGATACCAGCCAGGTCCATGCACGCTATCCTCAGAGTACCGCCCTTTATAATTCAGGGGCTTATAAAGGCAAAACCTATAGGGTTACCTACTTCCCACCTTCATCTAGTCAGGGCAACTATACACCCTGACATACTTTCTGCCTGTGAGCCTGCTGACAATGGGTATCAAGGACATCCTGTGCAGTTGGGGCAACCAAGCTTGTTTGCAGAAGCAAAAACATAAGGCTTATTATCTGTCCTTGGGCAAGTGGGGCTTACAGGTTAAAGACATTTTGTTTAGTAGTTAGATCTCTTAAGCACAGTAATCTAAACATTAACATAATGTCAGCCATCACATTTCCTTCTTGAGTTGTGTATCCTGAGTTCAATCCTTGTCTCTGCAGTGGGTACCAGCTCATAGTAAGATCTAATAACCATCAGCTTAATGGCACCCAGATGGCAATTTACATATCTAGTTAAGGCATTCATGATGTAAGGTTATTAGTAATTAGCAGAAACAGAAGGGCAAAAGCCTTGTGATGGCTGACAGCAGAACTACAATCTAGGAGGAGCCCGAAAATGAGAATTGGAACCAGTATTTTTTTTTTAAGTACAGTCAGACTATCTCTAATGATTCCTGAGTGGTTTGCAGAGAAGCAACAATTTTTTTCTTAAAGCCATACAAGACCTTTATTTTACATAGAGCAGGTTGAATGTCCTATCATGTTCTAGAACTATTTCAGCTAATGAATCTACCTGTTAATAGATCTAGGTCTGTTTGGTTTCAGCAGGTACTCTTCCTCATATGCCAATAGGATTTATAGGTACCTATTTGTCCCATCTAGCATGGAGTTTCCTTTTGACCTAACCTTCCAGCCTTTGAAGATGACAAACAGTAATGTACTCTCTCCTCTAACTACTTCCTGATAAAATTAGGACATCACTGCCAGGGCCCAGGAAGGCTGGAATGCTAGTCAAAGGCCAGGAAAGGATTCAGCCAATGGGGAAATCAGCAGAAGCATCTGGTTAGCTGACCCAGCTGAAGAAACACGGAGCAACCACATCTGCTGGATTGTTCCACGTCAGCTTTAAGCAAGTCCAGGGCTCGAAGTCATTTGGAACAGGTGGTAGTCCACAGCTGATTCCTGGATGGTGTTTGTCAGTCAAGTGGAAATTCTGCTGGAACAGATATAGACTAGGGACAGAAGTTCACCAGTGTTTGTAATTGGTACTAAAATCCACACTGTAGAAAGGGCAGCTGGCAGGTATCTGCAAAACAGCTGGAGTATGCTCATGTCTTTGAGTCATAGAGAGAGCTTTCAGTTAAAAAGCTTGAACATTTCTTTCTGGAGGCTGGTATGTAAATTGGACAGAGACGCTTTCAGCCTGATGAGACATGCCTTTAAGTCTACACTTAGAAGACAACCAACAGAATTTAAAATCTCGAGCTTGCGACTGGTAATGGCAGTCAGTGCTTTACCAGCTTGTCAGAACTCCACAGATCAATGTTAAAACTCTGAACTTTTGAAACCTTAGTATGATGACAGCATAGCAAGAAAGAAAGGCATCTGAAACATTCCTTGTTTCTCCGTATACCTTAAATCACTTCCTCGGACCTGCAGAAGTTATTTACGCCTGAAACCTTTTATTTCTACCTAACCATCAGAGATCTGAGAAGGATAAATTAGAACAAGAAGTAAGAACCAAATGGCCTCGTATCAGTTAAAATGATAAAGACTTGCCAGCTACCTGGACAATTATCCTAGTAGGCTCCCATGGTCTCAATAGCTTCATTGGGCATCAGAGGTTATAGGTCTTTGGCTATCACATAAGACAGCATTACATTTTCAGTGCTGTACAGGACAGCATAGAACCTCAACTACAAAACCCAGAAGGCCTGAGATATTTTCCTGTGGATAAGAATTTGAGGGAAATTGGCCTACCTTGACCTAGGCAGAGTAGGGCAAGTCAACCCAACAATGTCCACACTTTGTGCAGGGCTTTTGCATCAGGGAAGGCACAGGGCAGTTTTTCCAAGTGGTTAGCGTCGTCACAACTCAGGTCTGTGCCCCATTCATCTTCTTTGGAGATCTTAGGATTGCTTCTAGACAGTGGCATTTCTGTCTATCACAGGAAGGATTTTCTATTAAATATTTAAATGCCATATTCAGCAGATCTCTAAAGAGTTTGAAGACCATTATCTATTAAATATACATGATTTCAAACAAACTTTACTTGTCTTTACTTTGCTTTAGGCTTAACCTAGAAAATATATACAAGAAGCTAAATAAAGGCTATTCCTGTAATAATGTATATTAGTACTTAGCATAGCTACAAGTATAGTTCCGAACATATTAAAGGATTTAATCATTTATAAGGTGACTATTAACATGCATGTCGTAATAATCTTTAACAGTTTACGATATATTAGTAGCTTCTATAAGATTAGGATTTTAAGGCTTTGTCCCCATTAAGTTTAGCCTTAAAAATAACCGTTTCTGCATTGAAATTCTTTTGGCCTCAAAGTAAAACTTTAAATCATAAAGACAGTCCTTAGGGAGACTGACAACTTTACTCTCCTGGTCCTTTCATAGTACACCATTAGAGAATACCACAGCTTCTCGTAATATCTAAGGCTTAACAAAGTCAGCAAAGACAAGGAAGCTAGACATGCTTCTTAGGTCAGCCTCTGTCAGCCTGGATAGACCTACGGTAAAAAGAAACGTCCTGTGGGCTCTTTACCAGACTGTCCTGTCATTGTCTTGCTTTATCATATGTAGGCATATCCAAGTTTCTAATGTTTA